TATTTATGAACCCGATGAATATTTTAATGATCAACCAGTATTACGAGATTATTTAAAATAATTTTGAATGCAATAAATTATAAAAAATATTTACTCATTTAATACGTTATTTAGTAGGCAGGTTAAATGTAACAGAGCAATGTCACAGAGTTAAACTATTGAGAATTTAAGTTCAACGTATTTATTCCTCTTTTTAAGCATAGTTTTACTATTTCTGATTTACACAATCATGATTTAGAAAACTATGATAGGTTATAAGAATCATAATAATGTGCATTGGACTTGACGGAGCTAAATTATTTCGTTGAGGAAATAATAAATAAATTGTTGCAATTTATTACGAATTAACATTTAACGGTATTGTAAAAAAACCTAACTATAAATATTTTTTATAAAAATGTTAAAATGCAAGAAATAACCTATTATAACCTGATACCTGAAAGCATAAAAGATACGTCAAATGACTCTTATAATAATATAAAATAATATATTTACACTTATACTGTTTACTCACAATACGTTAAATAAATATATATACAAGATGGTAAGTGGTTCGAATGTAGTGATCGATTTCGATTGGTCGCTCCAATCATCATCAGAAACAATAGGCGAATGACAAGAATCAAAATGGTTCTTGTGTTTATAAAAAAAAACATCTAGGTTTTACAAAAAAGTTAATACGTTATAGTTGTACATCAAAGTTTTGCATGCTAATTATCTCTGATATAAAATTGCTAAAAATATTAAAACAATATAGGTACTAGGCAGACCTTAAGAGAGCTAAACATGTTTATGACATACATACATACAAATGTTTTGTAGTGTGGATTATTAATATAATTTACTGAGTCTGAGATAAATCATAATGTGATAGTAATATCATATGCCTATGTGTAAAAATAACCGATTGGTATAGTGCCAGCAGCCTCCAAATTTAAAAGATAAGCACTAATACCACTATAATAAAAGACCAGTTTTCTCATAATATATAAACAATTCTCTCAAAATATAATCGGTAAACATGGATAATTTCCCAACTGTTTGTAAAAAACACTTACGTATTCTACTAGTAGCATTATTGAGATACATTTAGTTAGTTGAACTTCGTAGAAAGCAAGAAGAGATATTGTGTAAGGTAGAGGAACATCAGATGGCAAATTAGCAATATTAATTAACCCAAGACCCAGGTCTATTGTTTTAGTTGCGACACGGTCTTTATTACCTTGCCTTTGCTCGAGCTCCAGCCAATAGTTGCCTTTCTGTTATGTAGATAACTCCCTTACGAGGAAAATCGTTTTGTATAAAAAATAAACGGTATCAGCATTCTGACACATACTTTCTCCCATAAGTTTGTCAACAACCTTTATCATGTGTAAGCAGTTAGAGTAAATATACGGTAATGGGATTTGTACAATTTTTTAAAGGACTATAACATACTGAATTTTTATCAAAATCGTTCGGGCTATTTTTGGGAAAATCCTATTTTTCCGTTATTTTATTTGGTTTTATGGGAAAATCCCCATTAAAAATCAAAATTTCTAAAAAATGAAAACAACTATCAAAGCTGTAAGGACCGTAATATACTATGTTAAATAAAAACCGGAGTTTTTTCAAAAATCCTATTTTTAGTTTTTTTATTGGATTTTTATGGGAAAATCACATAATTTACAATAACTTTTGAACCGTAATTTTTAAAGAAATGGGATTTGTACCATTTTGGTCAGAATTTAAAGGGCTATAACATACTAAATTTTTATCAAAATCGTTTTGGGCCATTTTTGAGAAAATCAGATTTTTCCGGTTTTTTATAGGTTTTTATGGGGGAATCCCTATTAAAAATCAAAATTTCAAAAAATGAAAAAAAACGCCTGGAGATACCATGGGTTAGAACATACATACAAACTTTCATCGAAATCGGAGCACAGGTGTAGTCCCTAGCTCTGCACACATCCAGACACACAGACACACAGACACACACACAGACATTACTTTGAAAACCACATTTTTGGGTCCAGGAGGACCCAAAACGGATATATCCACTCAAAACTCAAACTCGAATATTTTGACGAAAACAATACTTTCTCCATATACTATGGTATAGGGGGAGAAAGTAAAAAACCAGTATATTTGCTGACTCTTTAGCTGTCTGAGTATCAGGGAAGTACTTCTTAGTGCTCTACTACACATCTAAAGGTCACTAGTTCTATTTGAGCCAGATTTTTGGACTTAGAATTCATTTTTCACTGGAATGTAAATAATCATATTCACTTCAAGAATATATATAGCTGATTTACAAATAAGCATTTATAATTACCAATAAGATTTCTTTGGAATTAGACCTATTCGTAAAATATATAAACATTAAACCTGTTAATGGTAAAGGAAACTCGATAGAAAGTCAAAATTAGTGCTTTAATAGGTGTAATGATATGTTTCACTTCTACTTTCTAAGTGACTCCTTTTAACATAAGGAGGAATATCTTTATTAGCAAACAGATTAATTTCAATAAATATACTTTATACCCTTTATTCTAATTTACTTGAAATAGGAAATACTGTATACTTAGTTAATTTAGCTCCCAAAATACATTCTATTATTACCTATATCTTGATTCCGTATAATAAAATCATCATGAAAAGCAGTTTGCAAGCTATGCTAATAGTATATTTCATCACTAGGGCCTAAAGTGTCTCTTTTTTACCCGAGGTCGAAAAATGAGCGAGGTACTACAAAAGTCACTTTTTGCGCGTGTGGTAAACTATATTATTTGTCATGGTACAATCATTAATTAACAAAAACAAAGCTAGAAAACGAAATAATTTGTATGCAAAGATAACCTCTCAAAACGACCTCCAATTATGTCGTTTTTCAATTATGCTAATGCAAATAAGCAGTTGTTTAGCAAGTGATTCAATTAGTTCATCTATTACGATTGTGTTAATACCACCAATATGTCGAGCAATCGACAAAAATTGGCTAAAACCTTATCTGATAAATAAAGCGATAAATAATTTCAATCGATAAAATTGTCAGAATCGAAATTTAAAACTTTTTACAACAGCGGACTTTGACTCCATAGAGACTACAAATGCTACTTTAGACCCGCAACGAATGCATTGAAAACTGCTGTTTTTGCTGCAATATGACGAAAATTAGTTTTTTTGTGGTTGTACTTAGAGTAGGCTCAGTAGCCTATAGATTATGAAAAAAAAACTACTAGGATAAAAAAAACATTATTAATCAACAAATCCAAAAATTTAATATTTTTTATCACTTTATCTAGTAACTTAACTATAAAAATACATTTACTTCTCCGGTTTCTATTTTCAACGAACCGCTTGTAACTGTCATTTACATGTTATATTTGGTACTAGCTCCACCAACCTAATGATAACAAATTCATGATTAACTTCATACTCAAAATTTATATACATTTTAATATGTTTATAATGTAAAGGAAATGCATGAAATGTTAAAACTAACCACTTAACAAGATGATAAACACAAAATGTTATAAAGATCACATAGTATTTTTTTATCACGGTTATTTTCTTCCGGAAAATCAGTTAACTAAATGTTGAAGATCATAACAATCATTGTTTACTATTCACTAGTTGATTTTCCAATACGCTAGACAGAAAAACTTCTCAACAAGCCCAACAACACATAACAGAAAACAGTAATTTTTTCTGTAATACGATGAAAAGGTTGAAAAATCAATACTAATGCTGCAATAAACTGAAGAATTTGTATTTGCTAACTGACTATAACGATGTAATTGTTTTTTATTGAGTTTGTCGTCACAACGGTGTCCATTTGACAGTCAGGGCGTTAGTGCAAGAAACATATAGCTACTACAATACCACGGATCCTTGCTTTAATTAGTTTTGATCTCTGCTAGTTGATGTTTATTTAGGTTAAACGATTAGAGCTTTATTTGCGTATCATCAAAAGCAATCGTTTATAATTTTTACAAAAAACTCCCAAATATTGGAGTATTAGTTAAGATAATAATAAATTATTATCTTAGATAACATTTATTTATTGTACTACTGTAAAAAAAGATTTTTTTATAACTCCAGATAGTAACAGTTTTATGTTGTTGATTTTGGTTGTACAAAAAGACAAGCTCCTCAAACGGTTTTAAGGTTAAATAAAAAACTTATGTTGAATTACAGTTGTCTTAAAGTGATTTGACTTGTAAATATAAATACAGTATTGTTTATAGTCATTATGTTTTACAATGCATGGATAAAGAGAAATCGGGCATGCCAAAGGGTGGTAATTCAATAGCAAATAAAACGCTACGTGTTATGTTTTAATTAGATGTTTTATAATTATGTCAATTTTTATTACAGCAGGTAAGCGGAAAGAATAATTGTTAGCCCAGAGCATTTACCTCTCAAGCATTATATTTATCATTTTTGCTATTAAACTGTAAACATTTTTATATAACACTAATTACATGTTTTTTTTATATCTATGAAAATCCATGCATTAAATATTTACCTTAAACATAATATTGTATACGCATTCCTAAACGATTAAAACCCTCATACTATCAAAAATACTTATTAACCAAAGTAGGGTAACAAAACAATTTTACGATCACTCTCAAACACACTTTAAACTCGGATGATACTTTCCAGAAGCATTAATCCTTTTTTATCTATTAGTGAATATCTTTTTCGGCCATATTTTGAAAAGGACAACTGACTATAAAAAGTCCACATTAAAGGGATGCCTTTTCAATAATCGCACAACTGTGTTAGAAAACATCTTTTTTATTTACGTCCTCATCAAGTTTACTGATATGTAACTCAAAGCTAGGATCGTCAATCCAATTCGTTATGTACCGCACGTCGACTTCCTCACACCACATTTTGCTGGCAACAGCAAAGTCCATGAGGTTTGTGGCTTTTATATACATTTCCCTTTGCAACGGATAGCTGTCTGGCCAAAAACATTATAGATTTAATGATTTCTTTGTGGATATTAACATTTATTCTGTAATAACTAGTGGTCAAGCTTTATCAAACATTCTGGCAAACACTTTTGCTAGTATACCATTGTCCACCCAGGGATCTTCTTCAGTAAGCTCAAAATCGCAGTTTCCAGCATTGATTATTTTTAACTCCATGCCATAATCTAACAGTTTGTACATAATTTTATCCATTTGTTTTCGCACTGGATCGAGTACTGAAATGAAAAACGTTTAGGAAGTATTTGAAATTAGGACATTTACCTATGTTGCAAAATATATGCTCTAGGTTAACAATACTTGGTTAAAACTGTATGGTCAATTCATCTTAAAATATTCCTAAGTTTTCAGTGGTTAACGTTTGGTATATTAGAACTGTATTTGTGTAGATTTTAGTATTTGTTTAATTCAACTGTATTTTTAAAACTAACATCTAACTTAATTTGTGTATTAGCAATGATTAAAGGTTTTTAACATTTCACAGAAATGTTGTACTAATTATATAGTCATAACGTGCTACATTAAAAAGGTTTGTTAGCTTTAACGTTATACAATTTACACAAATCTTCCTCTAAATTAGTATTTACTCAGTAAGCTTTAGAGTGTTTTTAATGAGTTACACTTACTTACAAAGTACACATGTACCATTAATACATATTTTAAGTATGGTTCTAATTCTGTTGTATTGTTGGTTAGTACTTTTATTTTAATTATCGCTTTTGTTGGTGAATCGTTACAGAGTACAATAGTTCAAAATCTAAATGTAATGCCAAAAAAACCTGTGTTTTTATTATTTTGTTTAATTAAGCTGATATTGCCAATAGTAACACAATTAAACAACTATCAACCAGTTTAGAAATGGCAGTTATCTTCAATAAGTTCATCTACCAAAAGTGTTACTGTCCATGTGTACACTATTGAATTGAGGATTTTTTTTATTTTTCAGTAAGGATACACAAAATTACAATTTATTCTGGCTTATCTGTCACATCTACGATTGGAAACTTATGATTAGGATCTTCTAACTCGAACCCCTCATTGCAAACAAATGGATACATTTCTGCCATTCTAACTTCAAAATCCACTATGTTATTTAAAATTCCATAATCGATGATAGCCATAGTGGACCTTACTTGCCATCTGTATATTTCATCCGTAGCTGAAAAAGATCTTTGTGGTTAAATTGTAGTTTTAAATCATTTTATTTGGCAATTTTAAACTATTTATTACGTATTTTAGTCACACATTTATTTTGGGGTACAGTGAACTAATTTAAGATTATGGTTACACTAAGTTTGCAAATACGAAGTGTTACAAACACTTATGAAACAAAAAGTGCCTTTGAGTATAAAGTATAATCAACTATACTGCCCTGCTAAGCACAGTTGTGGTAACTGACATTTTCGGGGTAAATGAGATATGGTTACCATATGATTCTATACATACTTAGGATCATATAAATAGCCTTAAATGCCGTATATGTTGTTGTACTTATTTATAAAATGCTTATTTTCTCTGTTAACTCTGTGTATATTGTCCTCTTAGTGAAAATGTTTCACTACCAAAACAATATATAACTAACTAAAGTTATATGTATTCGCTTTTGCCTTCCAAACCATTGGTTGAAGATAATTCTATTGCTATATTTTTATACTTACCATACAAATCATTGTTGAATGTTTTAAATTTAAAATATTGTAAAAATCTAAAAAAAATAATCAGTTTACAATAAAGGTTTTATTCATGCTTTAATGTTAGTTTGTCAAGAAAACCTATTTAACTGATCGTAAAAAATCTAATAAATGAGTTGCTTATTTTTTCCATTTATAAGTCCTGTTTTTATAGATAAAAAATACCAACAATAAAAATGACAAAAAATTGACTTACTATGTGTGAGATAACTCAAAAAAATCCTTTCTTAAATTGTTGCTTTACATTATAAATACGTTACTGGTTGCAGGTTCTTATAAAAAAATCTTACCTACAGTAGTTGTAAACTTGACACTTAAAATTTAAAATTGCTAAAATCTAGTGAATTTTTAAGTATGTACAATTTAGACACAATATATTACAACAAAGTTCCTTTTACTAGTATAAAATTGAAAATAATTTCTTCAGGCTACCTTTTAAATTGATATATGGGTTTAGCTGTTACCTGGATAGTCTCCAATGTGAGCGATGACTAAAGCCGCATCCTTGAACTCCGGACGTTCAACAGGGGTTGGTGCCACTTTGTACCATCCTCTCCCCTCATACACCTTAGCATCGGGGGTGATTATGAAACTGATAGTAAGGCAGTTAGTTATAATTATGTTGTTGAAGAAAATATTTTTTAGAAAAAAATCACTAAACTATAATATATCTTTATCAAGTTTAATTTAAACATGGTCCAAAATATTACATTGGCTAGACTTCGAACTCATTACGAGTTAAAATGACAGGCCATCGTTTTGACATAGTACATGAAGACAACAGAAAACCTATTTATGATCACACCACTTCCGACAACCAAAATTTAGAAGGCTGCTACAAACGTAAAGCCTGTTTACAAAGTATATCAGCATCAACACCCTAGATGCAAATCTGGGTTTTAAGAAATTGTTAATTGGCACACCAGCTGGTACTTAAAACAAAGTTCCCTTCTGGTTTAAATTACATAAAATACATATAGTTTATTCGTTCCAACATTATGAGATTAATCAATATGTTTCTGATGTCAAATAATAATAACTATGCTGCCAAAATCCCCACTATTATTGCTTGATTGCTCGCTACATCTATCTAAAATAGGAATATTAATGTTAAGAAATTAAATGAACAAATTGATGTGTAATTCTACATACACCATTACTTAACATTTTCTACGTTGCTCCTTATCTAACAAATATGAATGACTTTGACCTAAAGTTTTTTTTTTATAAAACTCTTTACATTATTGACAAATTTTTCAGCCAACTTAAATGGAACAATTTACCATCGAATTAAGCTTTAAAACTTACTTGTAAGCGATGTCCTCAAATCCTTTTCCCATGTGAAATGCCTGCATCTTCCTAATATGAAATTTGCATTCTTCGTCATTATTGCAAGGTAGTGTCCTTGTTTTAGTCATCAGCACTTTAAGGACAGGTTTAGGAAGGTCAGCAATTTCCTTTTGAGGGGGTAAAGCACCCCAATCACTTCTTGGTACAATAGTTAATGGAGGCATAATATTAAAATTACTCTGATGTATTTCAGATTACAGAATATTTAAAATAGTAATTAAAACTAATTCACGGCATCCAAACATATATTTTATGTTGTCTGAGGTTTTTAATTTACAAACTGGCACTACTTGTCATCTGAAAAATCAAAGACACCAAAATTATTTAGTCTCACGTACCAACTATAAATAAAACATATAAACAAAGAAGTATAGCAAATATTGTCTTCTTTAGAGAAGAAATTACTCAACATTCCCATATTGATGTTTGTTTACAAACTATTCTTTATATTACTTATCGTTTTTCTGATTTGTGGAACAACGCTATCATTTATTTGTTTGATAAGATAAATTACTAAATTTATCGGCTCATTTGGACTGATATAATTATATTCGGAGTAAACCATGTGTTGTTTTACAATATTGTTTCAAATATAGGGTGTAGGTCGAACTGTACTTACAGACAGCTGAAATAACTATTTCCTGTCGTTAAATAAGTAGAATTATTCATATATATTAGTTTGTATTAATGCTAGATAATATTGTATCTACCATTGTAATAACGGACATAATTTGTTTATTGTTTTACCTAGTAAATTATTAGGTTACTAATCTAAAATCAATATTTTGCTAAAATCCTATTTAAAAAATATATTCATAAATCTGCGAAAAACTATCCAAAAACATATACCTATTGCGTTTCGAAAATACGAAAAATTGATGACAAGTAAAACTAATGTTTAAGTAACATTGAACACTTTTATTAGTAAAATATTTATGTTCAATACCATGATCAAAAACGAAAAATCACTTTTCGATTTTTCACTTACTAACTCGATTGGTATACAATTCTTGGAAATCATAATATATTAAGTAACAATAAAAATGGATTACATTACTGAAACTCTATAAGACCTAGGTCGTGGTGAGACTGTAAAATTTGGCAAACATTAGATTGTTTGGTAGTTGACTATCTATACCTTTAGGTGTCAGGATAAACATAACTAACTACTGTACCTTGCTTTTTGTCAGAGCCATTTTGTCCCTTGGACAATAAGGAAGTTAAAACACGATGGTTTAGAAGAAGTGGTTGACAAAAATGGACATTAGCATTGTGGTAGTTTTTTTCTAATATTGCGTAAACCTTTTATACCAAAGGTTTTTTTTTCATACTTACAAGAAGCTGAGATATTCTATTTCATGTATCTGAAAATTCGATGAAGTATTTAAAACCGGATTAGTATTTAATATAATACAGCTTTATGATTACTATTTGAATTTTATTTTATATAATTATGTTTTTTTTTAAATTGGTTTATTGATTACAAACAGTTACATTTTTGTAACGAAATGCAATTTTAGCTTTAGGGTCGCAATTATATTTAATGTAATCCATAATTGGCCTATTAATAATAGGTTAATTAAAACAAACAATAGTCCAATTATTTAGTGAAACGTTAAACAACCAAAAACTACGATCTTTTCAAAGTTAAGCAGTCGTTTCGCATCGGTTGGGGTTAACACCTAATTTGAATGTAAATTCCTTCCTCAAATGCCTGCTAATCAGCGAGAATCTAGTGTTTGTTGATTGTAATTTAAGGGTTTAGGCAACGAATTGGGTAATTCAATTTGCATAATGAATCAATTTGGAAAATTAGTTTAATCTCATTACTGGTATTTTACAAAAAGGCCCCTAATCCCTTAATCCTTTATGTATTTTGCTAGTTTTATAGTATTTTACTGTGCTCAAAATATGTGGAGAATTGTTTAAATTTATTGTTGTACGGATATTTTATGTTGATAATCAAGTTAATTTGACATTTAATACTTTGAAATGAATATTAAGAATGTTGAGTAAGGCTATTATATTTTTATTATCTGTCCCATTACTTAATGTTTATGATACTAATTGTTAAATCACAATCTGGACAGTACTGATAATGTTGTTTCAACAAAGAAATATTGTATTTGGAGAAATAATTCTACATTTATCCATTTGAAAGTGAAAAGTCGTTATGAAAATACCCTCCAATAACCCTTGCACACTAAGCGAGTTGCTATTTCCTGATTATCACTAAAATGCTTTACTAAACATGTAAAATTAGGTGCTATTAAAATAGCATTAGGTTTATTAATGAGCACATAGATTCGCTGCTACAAAGGAATATATTTTTCAGTAAAACGTAAATTATGTAATTGAAATATAAATAATAAAAATATACCCATGAACAAGCAAACTACATTTATTTGACCATTTAATGAAATTAGTTTTCTTTCTGAGCTTCTCATAATGACAAAGAAATAAATCGAAAAATTTAAGTTTTCAAAGGGGGAGGGGGGGGGTTTAAGATAAACCAATGGATAAACCCTACATGAAAATAAGTCCTACTTATTGAAGGTATTTTAAAAGCAGTTCATGAATGGAAACAAACTAGTAACAATGAACGATGAATTTTGAAACATTCTCTTGAACCACTGGGGTTCTCATTGTCGTGTTACATAACATAAGTGATATACGTAAAACCGGGTCCGCGGAATTGGCTAACTCTGGAACTCGCTAACCCCATGTTAAATGCCCTATCTTCAAATTTGGTCGATGAGAGGAACTCGCTAACTTGTTCGGTTTCGGAATTGGCTAACTCCGGAACCCGCTATCCCGCTCTAGAGCCGGGTTAGCGAATTCCGTCCTCGTACGGAAGTCGCTAACTCGGTCCCTCGGCGGAACTCGCTAACTCCCAATCAGAGGCCTCGCGGGCCGTCCAATGGGAGCCAAGCACGAATATTTTTGGCCAGTGTTGCCGAAAGTGTAGTACCTGTATCGTATCGGCACCATAATGTCGTATCCTACGCTTAATTAGGAGTAAGAGCAACGTAGTCGATAAAATAAATATATTTTGAAGTATGTTTAACCACAGAGAAGTTCTTATGATTATTAGGGTGGAAAATGCATTATAGTCTTACCATAGACTAACCAACACAAGTAAACTTTACATCCCATTGTAAACTTTGAAGCTCGTTTTTCGTGTCTAGTTCATGTCCGGTGACACTGATCGCTAGTGTCGACAAAATTGTGTTTCGATTATTTTATAGTTAACTTCATGATTTGTTCCTTACTGTTTGGTTATATAACTAGGGGACGTGTTATTAGTTGTGATTAGAACGTTTTATTTGGTTAAACGAGGTTTTAAATTACTGAAAACAAGAAACAATTGTAAACCAAACACGACCTCTAAAGACAGTACACCGGACAGAACTAACAATACAACTGTCTTCAGATCATCCATAAGGATGAGAAATGTACTAATATAAGGGAGTATGTTTTATATGTGGGTTTCTTACTTAAATAGTAGCTTATTGGTATGAAAAAGATAAAAATACACATTTAATTTGGATCTATTACATGTTATGAAATATCTATTTTCGTAGTCCGCCATTTATTTCTTTTATTCGAATAAATACCATTTTGTGAACTTCTGCAAATAAAATTTTTGAGTTCGTATTTTATATACTGGGCTTGTAGTAACCTTAAATCATAAATCATAATAAAATTTTTACGTTAAACGTCATTACAGAATTACATTGTAGTGGTTATGTATTTTTAAATAGAGCTATTGAATTTAAATAAATATTTATCAATACATTATAAAGTGGTAGGCCTAATGTATTCATGGATTGCATTAAAAGTTAGTCTATGCATAAATACAACTTGTAAATTTCTTTTATCGTAGGCTATTAGTGTAGAACCCGGGTCATCCTCTTAATTTTGTTGAATTAATATTAATTTTACTTCTTTCAGTAGGCTTACTTTTTAAAAGTCTGGAGTTTTTTTCCAGGCTGATTCTATCTTATCCAAAAACAAAGCTATTGTCTATTGTGTAGCTCAGTACTGGGGAATGGTGAACCGAGCAATGGCTTGGTATAGTTTATATCGTTTGTGAAAGCAATATAAAGGAACCCTACACTCAAATCAGGAAAATCCGTCAATTAGTTTATTAAAAATCGTGAATTAAAATAACCCTGTCACGTTTTATTATATGAATATTATATCTTCTCCTATTTTTTACTAGTGGTGCTTAGGTGTACAATCTAAAAACTGTTTTGAAACATGTAACATTATTGCTAAAAAAATCAACACATTTTCGAATTAGGCAACTATTTACTAGTAGGTCTACAATGCTTTGGTTCAAACTATTAGGCCTAGATAAAAACTTAGTCTATGTCATCATATTTGTACACGTAAGTTGGACGGTTCAATGACGAACATTTAATTTAAAATCTATGAATTAATTATGAAAGTTACGATGGTTGATGACTGTATTAATTAATGGTTTTGGTTTATTACGACATTACAATTAAATCTGTTTTCCGTGTTTAAGAACTTGCGTGTATTTTAGCTTATTTTCGTAGAGGTTTAATTATTTATTACCAATAAACTAAATTTTGAATATTTTTCATATTCTATTATTTTCTTTTATACTGATGGCATTTATATTTAAGATCGAAATCATAAACATTTAACTGGCCATTGTACAGTTTAATAAAAAACACTTTTTCATGATTTTTTAACTGTCTTTTAATTACTTTGGGCTAGTTATCTGTTAAAAGTGGAATTGATAAAAAAAAATAACATTTACTGTATCTTTATAGACACTGACATTTTGAAATACGGCAGTGTACGATTATTTTGTCGTACAAGGTTGGCAACGCTCCGAGCAGTGGGCGCGGCCGGGTTAGCGACTTCCAGAGTTAGCGAATTCCGCCGCGAGACAAAATCGAGTTAGCGGGTTCCGGAGTTAGCCAATTCCTGACTGAGACGGTTAGCCAGTTCCAGAGTTAGCCAGTTCCGCCACACGACCGAGTTAGCGAGTTCCTGAGTTAGCCAATTCCTACGTCTCGTAAAACCTACTAAAACCTGACGAATATCCTCCAAATATCTAAAACTTTTTGTTGCTAGCAACTACCACTGATAAGCAAATAAACCCATTAATTTAAGAATATAAAAAAATACACTTTTACTACACAAAGATATTCGAAGGTAGCAACAAATGTGTTTCATTCCAACGTAATTAACCAGACTAGCCTGCAAGGAACGTAAAACCCCGGGATCGTTAAAAGAACGTCCCTACCTCAGGAAAACGCTTCTTGCTTTTTAATGCTGGTTTTAACTGTCCACGTTTGACAATTTCAGTGTCCACATGGTAAAATTACGTATCATTGTATTTGTATTACTATATTCTTGTTTCTACATTCTTT